TCAGGCTGGCCTTGAGCTCACTTTGTAGCCCAGGCTGGTCTCGAACTTGCAATGATCCTCCTGCCTCAGCCTCCCAAGTGCTGGGATTACAGGCATGCACCACCACGCCTGGCTATCTCTGGTGGCTGTACTCTCCTTGGGAGAGTCTGTAGCCCGCTAGGACTTGCTTCTGGCTCACTAGGTCTCAACCTTTTGAGAACTAAAAACTGGTCTAAGGTTGTCTGTTTCTTTCTTTGACACTGTTCTGTAGTGTCACATGGCACTGTCAGTAAGCAAGTGAACGCAACAATTGGCTTTTTCTCTGTCTGGGTGGGTCTTCTCTACAAATGTTTGTAGCGCTGTCCACTTTTTGAGGATGTACTTTATGTCAGAAGAACTTAATTGCACTGACTGTTGATACTCCCCCTCCTCTTCAGAAAGCTCCTCAGCTGCCATCCTCCGTGGCTCAGCCAGAAGTTGCTGAAGCTCCTCTGTAGACAGCTCCTCTGAGCATTCCACCGCCAGCTCCTCAACATCACCACTGTCTACCTGCAAACCATGGACTCTGCTATAGTGACAGCGTCATCAACCAAGGGCCAATTGAAGGCTCAGGCTCCTCTACACAGCCTTCAGAGTCTCCTTGCATAATTTTAGCCCACACTTTCCTCCAAGCAGATCTCTGTGTCCTTAGAGACACTGGCCCAGGATTTCTAAATTAACCTCACACAGGAAAGGATGTTGTAATGTCCCTTCCAGAACTCTTTTTTTTTTTTTTTTTTGGTCTTTTTGAGACAGGATCTTACTGTGCAGCTCAGGCTGGCCTTGAGCTCACTTTGTAGCCCAGGCTGGCCTCAAACTCACAATGATCCTCTTGCCTCAACCTCCCGAGTGCTGGGATTACAGGCGTGCGCCACCATGCCCGGCTCCTTCCAGAACTCTTTAAGGGTTAAATCTGTATGTGAGACCATCTGGAAGCACTTCAAGAACAGTTCCTTGATTATAGCTTCTTAAAGTTAGCTATAACCTGCTGGCCCACAGGCTGCAGTAGGGGAGTTGTATTAGGTAGGTAGGAGGAATTCAACTGAGAGCTATGAGAATTCTTTAGCCAATTCTTCCAAATTTCCATGGGCCTTCCAAGGCCCATGATAAGGAGAGCCTTGAGTGGCAAACCTTTGTCCTTTAGATATTTCTTAAAAGTAAGACAGAAAGCCTGCCTGATCCACTCAAGAAAAAATTACCGAGGCTTTTGTGTTTGGTCTCCACATGACCCCCAGCCTATTCTTCATGACTATGTTTTCTGAACACTGTAGGGCTCTCACAGTGATAAGCCAAGGGAGGCTTTATCTTGAGGTACCACACGCACTGACACGTAGCAATAGGTTAGCCCAGCCTTCATGGGCTTGTGGCCTGGCATTTTCCTCTGTTCCTGGGTAATGCATGTTCTCCTGGGCATCTTCTTCCAGAAAAGGCCGGTTTCATCACAGCTGAAAACCTGATGACAGCAAAAGTGTCGCCATTTCAAAGTGGTGTGTGTAATCCTCAGCAGCCCTTTTATTAGCACTGGCCACTTCACCATGCCTAGGTGCACTAGGAATCCCAGTTCTTGCTTTAAAATCGTGACACCATCCCTTACTGGTGCAAAATGTTTCCCCATTATCACTCATTGATGGATTAGCCTTTACGAGATCTGCATTTACACCTCTAGCTTTTTCCTAAGTTATAGACTGAGACAGGCTGTAACTTGCCATCTGCCTTGCGTTTATCCACACTAATAACAGCCTTTCTACCTCATCCAACACCGCTGGTCATGACTTACTCATTTTAGTAACACCTTCAGCAATGCCAGCTTCCTTATCTAAATCTTTTCTCTATATGACTGTCAGGACAGTGGATTTTTTTTTTTTTTTGGTACCGGGAATCGAACTCAGGACCTTGTACTTGCCAGGCAGGTGCTGCGCTGCTGAGCTATACCCTCCCCTGGGACGGTGGATTTTGGCATGCTGTCCATATTAGCGAGATCAGTCACCTGAGTGCCACTCTCATTTCTCCACAATTTCCTTCTTTTCGATTATGATTGCTTTCTTTACCTTCCCTTCCTTAGCTTCTTTTTCTAGCTTTTTTGGGACCATTTTGATAGCAGTAATCATAGCGATTATCTAAAACACTGACCGAAGTCACATCCACAAACATGCACATCAGGCTCAGAGTGACCCGTAAGTGAGCGTACATATGCTTTCCTGGCAGTGCAAGTCTCTGTTTACCACCGGACAAGGAGCCAGCATTCGGGTTGTAACTCTAGACTTTGGTTGCAAATTAACCCTAAAATTCTGATCATAACACATGTAGTTTGCATGTGAGGCCAGCTGTAACTTGAGGGTCCACTGGATCTCTTCAATGTATTGATTTCAATCCCTGTGTATATACAGTACCCTCAAAAGTGGGACTGCTTAATCACATAGTAATTCTGTTTACCAGTGTGGTTTTACTAATGAACATTCACATCAGCAGTATGCAGGGGTTCTCTTTATATCTTTACCAACACTTACGTTTCATCTTTTTGGTAACAGCCCTTTTAACTAAGGTATGAAGGGGCATCTCACTGTGGTTTTGTTTGTATTTCCTTGATGATTAGTGATGCTGAACATTTTTTATTTTTGTCTTTTTGAGACAGGGTCTCACTATACAGTTCAGGCTGGCCTTGAGCTCACTTTGTAGCCCAGGCTGGCCTCAAACTCACAACGATTCTCCTGCCTCAGCCTCCCAAGTACTGGGATTACAGGGGTGCACCACCACACCCCGTTTTTAAAAAGAATTTTCTGATAATAAATATTGCCATGTATTACCATTTTATTGGTTGTATTATATTCATTGTATAGATATGTACTAATTTATTGAACTGTTCTGTTAGAAATTAGGATTTTTCTTTTTAGTACAGAGAATTACACCCAGAGACTGGTGAACCACATCTCCAGCCCTCCTTGTTTAATTTTTAAAAATCTGAAATAGGGACTCACTAAATTGCCTAAACTGGCCTTGAACTTGTGATCCTCCTGCCTCAGCCTCCCCAGGAGTTGAGATTAAGATCTCAACTACCGAAATTAGGATTTTGTGAGAGGGTACCGGCAATTGAACTCAGAACCTCATGCTTGTAGGCAGGTGCTGCGCCACTGAGCTAAATCCCTGGCCCCTAAGATATTTTTTAACATCACAAACAATGCTGCATTAAATAGTCTTACATATTTGTACATTTATATGACTGCTTCCCTGTAATGATTCCCTTAAAATAATACTTAGAGATTTTTTTTTCCAAATACAAAATCCAATGTAGAAAATTTGGAAAATACAGGCAAGTCCATCCCCAGGACTAACCACTACTGTCAATATTTAAGCCATGCTCTAACTTTAAGTATAAGAATACTGCCCAATAAGTAATAAGCTATTGCCAAGTCCTGATCTTCCTGATTTTGGTCACAGGAGAAACTCTGCTTCCTCAGCGTGACCTTTGTAACTATGGACTGCATACTGATTTTTTCCTGGTTTATTTTTGTGAGTTCCAGAGGCACTCATTTTCCCGGTGGCTTACCTCTTTTCTCACAGATGTGTTTAAAGAGTAGTTGGTAATACAGTTAAATTTCTTGTCTCATTTCTAGGTCTAAGAAGATTCCCAAGTGACTGTAAAATTAAATGCAAGCCTGTTGAAAGCAAATTCCATTGTTTCAGAAAAATGTCTATTTTGTCATCTTCCATGGGTATACACTGCTTTGTCTATTCCTTGCTTTTATATGTTGCCTACAGTTCTTCATTTATACACTGCCACTGTAGTCCTCTTCTGCTCTGGATTACTGAACAAAGTTTCATCAGACCCTGGGTAGGCTAAGTCATAAGTGACACATCATTATGGGCCCCTGACATGAATGCAAAGTGGCACAGCCCCCCAGTCCAACCCAAAGATGCCTCACAAGTAAGAAGGGGTATAAAGAAGGAAAATGAAAACCCCTAGAGAAGCAGAAGGTAGTTATGGTTGGTAAAGGGAGGGAAATCTCGCCAGGTAGTAGGAAGGCTAGGCTTGTAGAATGGGGACAGACTTAGGGAGAAAGCTTGAGCTGGGCTCCTTTCTATTTACTATGTTGCCAAACAGGTCACTGTGTTCTCCATCAGCCCTACTGCAACGCCAAAAAGCAGGAGTGCTGAAGGTTCATGGGGGCACACTACTGGCATGCAAGGCTAAAAAGTGGTTTTACTGAAAGGCATGCAAGGATTTCTTCCTGCTTTCCTCTGTAGGCCTTCTTTCTACCCAGAGAGCTAGACAATCACTTTTAGAATGGAACAAAGCGGTTCCTCACAGGGCAAAGCCTCCTGGAGAACAGTACAAAAGAGGCTATTCAATGCTGGACCCCCAGTATACCAGGGGGGCACAAGCTAAGATACAGACTTCAGTTCCTCCCATCTCTTTTTCCATCCCTTACCCACCAAGACAACTGACAGGACAGCTGGGCAGAGTGGTACACACCTGTAATCCCAGGAAGGCTGAGACCAGAGGATCAAAGTTCAAGCCCAGACTGGGGCATTTAGCAACTTTGCGAGGCCCTGTCTCAAAATAAATAACAAAAAGGGAGTATAGCTCAGTATGAAGGTCCTGGGTTCAATCCCTAGTACTGGGGGTGGGGTGAGGGGAGGAAGTTCTGAAACAAAACCAAGCAGAAAATCTGGAAAATAAAACTTCAGAGGGCTGGGGATTTAGCTCAGCGGCAAAAGCACCTGCCTTGCAAGCGCAAGGTCGTGAGTTCGGTTCCCAGTACTGGAGAAAAACAAAAAAACAAAAAAACAAAAAAACAAACAAACAAAAAAAAAATAGACATGCTATGAGAGAATACTTTGGGGCTGGGGATTTAGCTCAGCAGCAAAAGCGCCTGCCTGGCAAGCGCAAGGTTGTGAGTTCGGTTCCCGGTACCAGAGAAAAAAAAAAAAAAAAAACAAAAAACAAAAAAAATAAAATAAAACTTCAGTAAGTGAAAACATTTGACTGAAAGTCTAAGTAGTAGACAAAATCAATCATGAAAAAAAAAAAAAATCAGGAGTTGAAGACATGGCGGGAGTTCCAGAACACTCAGACAGAATCAAAGAAAAATGTAGATAAAAATGGATCAAAGATTTAAATGTAAAAGCAGAAACAATCTGCTGGAAGATAAAATGGTAAAACTCTTGAAAACACAGGTGTAGGCAAGGACTTTCTGAACAGAACACCAATGGCATAAGAAATAATACTGAAAATTAACAAATGGGATCATATCAAATTAACTTCTGTACAGTGAAGGTAACCGTCAACAGAGCAGAGACAACCTGCCAAATGGGAAAAAATTTTGTCAGCTGTTCTTCAGACAGAAGACTAGTATCTACAATACATAAAGAACTCCAAAAAGTAGACCCATTCCCCAAATAAAAGACCCAATCAAAAATGGGCAACTAAAGTGAATAGAGACTTCTCAGAAGAAGTACAAATGGCCAATAAACATATGCAAAAATGTTCTACATCATTGGCCATTACAGAAATGCAAATTAAAACAATACTGAGATTCCATCTTACTCCAGAAAGAATGGCTATCATCAAGAAATCAAATAGTAACAAATGCTGTAGAGGGGATGGGGGACCCTTCTACACTGTTGGTAGGATTATAAACTAGTACAATCACTAGGGAAACAGTATGGAGATTCCTCAAATGGCTAAATATAGAAATTCCATTTGACCCAGCTATTTCCCTTCTAGATTTCTTCCAAAAGAGTTAGAAGTCTGGGCTGGGGATATAGCTCAGTGGTGTAAGCACCTGCCTGGCAAGTGCAAAGTCGTGAGTTCAATCTCCGGTAAAAAAAATTCTCAAAAGAGTTAGAGGTCATCATATTATGGTGATATGTGCATATTTATATATTTATTTATTATTTTTTCTTTTGAGACAGGGTCTTGCTATGTAGGCCAGGCTGGGCTTAAACTCATTATGTAGCCCAGGTTGGCCTCAAACTCATGGCTATCCTTCTGCCTCAGCCTCCTGAGTACTGGAATTACAGGCGTGCACCACCACACCCGGCTCATCCAAGAGTATTTTCCAAAGGGTCTTTATGATAATTTGCTGAGAACTTGAAGGTATGAGAATATATTTATTGCACACTCACATTTAAATTATAGTTTAAGCTAAATATAAAGATTTAGTCAGTTTCTTTCAAAACTTTGAAAATATTGCTTGTTTACCTGTTTCTAATGTTAATCTTGTAAAGCCTGATACCATTCTGATTCATTTTCTTAGTGAGTGAGCTGCTCTTCTGCTCAGAAAGTTTTTAGAATTATCTACTTTCCTTTGCTAAGATGAGTCATCTTGCATTTCTTAAGATAGTATCAATTCCTTTTTCCATATCAACACAAAACAAAAACAATATGCTACTGAAACAAAAATAGACATGTAAACCAATGAAATAGTTTCTATAAGCTATTTTAATATCAACTTACTTTGAAAGTTCTCACTTCCTTTTTTTTTTTTTTTTTTTTTTTTTTTTTTTTTTTTTTTTTTCCGTTTTGAGACAGTTCACTATGCAGTTCAGGCTGGCCTGGAACTCACTGTATAGCCCAGGCTAGCCCCCAACGTGCAGCAATCCTCCTGCCTCAGCCTCTTGAGTGCTGGGATTACAGGCATGCGCCACCATACCCAGCCTCACTTTTTTCTTTTTGTGCCAGGAATCGAACTCATGACCTCATATTTGCCAGGCAGGTGCTACAGATATCCCCAGGCATGGCCCAGGGGGCTTCTTAGGGCAGTTCCTCTTGAGGTGGCCTGGCTTTTAACAGCGTTGCCAGGCAGATATCCCCATCTCACTTGTTTTCTCATGTATCAACTTACTTATTTTTCCCCCCTCTCCTGTTAGGACACCTGTTATATAAATTTATCATTTTTATGCCCAACTACTACATTCTTCACTTTTGTATTTGTTACCTCTTGTTTCTTCCCAGTATCATTTGGAGATGTTCTCTGACCTGATCTTGGGCTGTATCTATTTCGCTGTTTCCATGTGATTTCAAAAATAAATTCTCTGAGCCATGAGGAGGACTAGGAAGGGTTCTCTATAAACATTCACTAATAAAAATAATTTAAAACAATTGAAATAAACTCATTTGATGAGATCAATAGCTAAATTTGCTTATCAGATCTAAAAGACTTAGTGTTTTGGGGTCTTCTATTAAAGAATTATATAATCTGAAAATAAGGATAATTTGACTTCTTCCTTTCCTATTTGTATCCATTTTATTACTGTCTCTTGTGTAGTTGCTCTGGTCAAAATTCGGAATACTCTATTGAACTGAGGTGGAAAGAGTGGGCAATCCTATCGCATTCCAGATTTTAGAAGGAGATGGTTTGGTTTTATTTTGTTGAGACAGGTTCTCACTACGTAGTTTGGGTTGGTCTTGAACTCACTATGTAGCCCAGGCTGGCCTTAAACCCATGGTAATCATCTGCCTCAGCCTCCTGAGTGCTGAGATTGCAGGCATGTGCTACCACACATGGATTTTTTAAATTTTACCTCTTATTTATTCACAGAAGAGAATTATGCCATACATTTTAGCGCCAAACTGGTTATTTGTTATTATTTATTAGTACTCCTTTGCAGTACATAATGATTATATTCCTCATGATGGAAGAATTCTTTCAGTTTCTCCCTAATATGATGTTGACTGTGGGTTTGTTATATACAGATTTCATCATTTTGAGAGAAGATCCTTCTGCCGGGTGTGGTGGCACACACCTGTAATCCCAGCATTTCAGAGGCTGAGGCAGGAGGATTGTTGTGAGTTTGAGATCAGCCTGGACTACTAAGTGAGCTCAAGGCCAGCCTGAACTGCATAGTGAGACCCTGTCTCAAAACAAAACAAAAAAAGAGATAAGCTCCTTCTATACCTATTTTATTTTATTTTTGGTACTGGGAATCAAACTCAGGACTTCGCACCGCCACTGAGCTACATCCCCAGCCCTCTATACCTATTTTAATAGGGCTTCATAATGAAGGCATGTTAGAGTTTGTCAAGGCTCTTTCAGCATCTATTGCAATGGTTGTGTGTTTCTTCTTTGATCTTATTTATATATTACATTTGTTGATTTATGTATATTGAACTATCCTTGTATCAGGTGGATAAAACCAACTTGGTCATGATGTATGATCATTATTTTCTGCCGCTTTTTTTGGCAGTACTGGGGATTGAACTCAGGGCCTTCCCACTAAACTGCATTCCCAGCCCTTTTAAAATTTTGAGATACTCAGCCAGGCATGGTGGCGCATGCCTGTAACCTCAACACTTGGGAGGCTGAAGCAGGAGGATCATTGCGAGTTTAAAACCAGCTTGGGCTACAAAGTGAGATCACGGCCAGCCTGAACTATATAGTGAGACCCTGTCTCAAAAAGACTAAAATAAAATAAAATAAAATATAAAATAAAATAAAATTTTGAGATAGCTGGGTGTGGTGGCACATGCCAATAATCACAGCACTCAGGAGGCTGAAGCAGGAGGATCACTGTGAGTTTGAGGCTAGCCTGGGCTACATAAGTAAGTTCAAGGCCAGCATGCACTGCACAGTGAGAACTTATCTCAGAAAAAAACAAAAAACAAAAAACATTTAAATTAAAAGATAATAAATTTTGAGATTATTTTGAGGTACAATCTCACTAAGTT